AATTCAACAGGCTTTTGCCTTTTCTACTACAACATTACATTTCCTATAAAACATATTCAGTTCTAGGCTTTATTATTTAACTGTGACCCAAATCACAACACACCTAGTCCTAGCTCTGGGACCACAACAGTAAAGTAATGGTGTGTGGGCCAATGCAGCTGACTTCCTCGGCAGAGAATGTGTGTGTTTACAGGGTGCTTTGCATAAACCATCTTCAAACAAGGTTGGCATTAAGCACACTTCCTTTAGCTGCAAAGGGTTAATCAGTAAGGTTTGCATTTGAGAATGTTCTGAATCCTGCTCCTCCCTCTCCGGCTCTGCTGCCAAAAACCATCTGACAGGAAACGGAAGATTAAGTTTGTCCTACCTAGGCGAACAAAGAGTGCTCTGAACAGGCCACTGCTTTACTGCAGAGCGGGAACTTCTCTGATCCTGATGGAATCTGCAGCGCTGTTCTGAAAATACCATGGAGAAAGTTGTTCTCTTTCCTCTAACATCTTGTCCCTGGATCATCTCGTTTTGGTCACACTGTCCATCCAGAAAGGTTGACGGAAAGCTCCAGACATAATCATGTGGAAAATGGACATTACTGATTCCTAGGGCCCATTGTTCCCCCATCCTAAGTCCCTGAAGTTCAAGTTCAATCTGGAATTACATCATGTCTGGTTTCTCCTGGTTACCAGACGGCTTGAGACGTGACCACAGCTACAGAAAAAACAAACAGCCTTCTTCACGCTTCGGCGCCCCTATCGATTCAAACGTAAACTTTTTTTCTTTCTCTCAAGTATGCCTCAAGTATGGAGCATGGTTAATTTAGAGATTAAGTTCCAAATTAGATTATCTAATGGCATCTTAATGGATTGCTGACCCATTTCCTGTGGGATGGCAGCATGCAAGTCTGGCTGGAATACAATTAATTTCTTAGGAAGTGTTCTGAAGAGTTTGTCTAGATAAAAAGGAAACGTCCAGTTGGACAAATCTTTCTTTATAAATGGAGAAAGGTAGGTGAAAAGTACAAGTCCCAAAACAGCTTTCAGCAGCCAGATCAGAGACATCGTGTGTTTGTAAAAACCATTTCAGATCATTTTTTAAAAATGCTAACGGCTTGAGCTTTGCTTTCCTAACAGGTGCAAGTAATATTGATGAGAAAGGAAAGTCGCTGCTTTCAAGAGACTGATAAATGCAAAGAACAGCAGCAGTTAGCTGTCCTGTTACCAAACACTGGTCACGGGCCACTTTGGCTTCCGTAATTCTTTGCCTTAAACCTCGGATTCTCCCATGCATCTATCTTATCAGCATTTCTATTAAGAGTCCCAGAGTGGTGCTAGGGACCCAGAATGGTGTATAAAAATTTGAACAGTCCGAACCCACTCAAGAGCTAATAGCTGAAAAGGAGATTCAGGGATGGGAATCCAGCTCCCCCCAGGAACTGCAGGAACAACCCAGCTGCCAGACTGCAGCTCTGTGTCAAGATAAGAACCCCTGAGCAGGAAATGCTAGCCTGGGAGATTTGCAGGGATGGTCCAAGTATAATGCTGAAATAAAAGTTAACTTAATTCTACATAAGGACAGGAGTGCACACATGCCTTTATCACACATGCCACCAATCTGTATACGTAAACATATATATGTGAACACATAGTTTGCAACCTATTAAAAATTATTCTTAAGCTTTTATTTTTTAGTCTTTTGACAGAGAGAATACATTTTATAAAGAAGACAGTATGGATATTGGAGGGAAATTGGTAAATGGTTTTCCACAGTAACTATGGAGCCTGAAATGCTCACTACTATCCCTTCATTTTACGCTTTCTCCTGACCAGCCAGATCCAAATAACCTTTACTGGCTGCTAAACTTCTCTTGGGAAATCAAGAAACTCTCTGCAATTGCAGTAATAAACGACAATTTCTTACAAAAACATGTGTAAAGTAATGACAGGATGAAGTATTCAACTCATAGAAAGGAACCGGGAACACATGTACCACGGCAAATCGCTGATAAACGTGTCTGGTGCCATTCAATTATGGCATAAGCAGAAACCAAAAAAAAAAAAAAATCCCTCCAATTATTTCAGTAAAATCTTCATTTATTCATTATTTCAGGGGCTGAGCAAATGGTTTGTGTAAACATATCCTTCAGTAACACGCGCATGTTTATTTTAGCCATCTGAAGGCTTCTTCTATGTTTATATAAGCCATCAGACACATACAACCACTCACTTGTGGCTTTGCGTTTTCTTAACGGGGTGAAGGGGGAGAGGGAGAATGAAACAATAAATCCAGTTTCTCTTTTGCATAAAGCACCCATCCAATGTTTTAAAATAACTTATGTTTATATTATTCTTAGATTGTCCTTCAGCTCTTTTTTTTATTCAGTTATGCTGTTCTTTCATATTTGAAAGGGCAGCAAGAGTCTGGCCAGGGCCTCAAGAAAGCAAGCTAGTTAGCAAGAACTTCTGGGTGTGTTTACACCCACATGACTCCCGCGTGCAAAAACCACAGAACTTGTGCCTGGCGGAGGGCAAAGAACAAACGCAGAGTACCTAGCTTGAGCAATTCATCACCTAACATCCTCCCAGAAGGCCAATCTACCCGGATTGAAGTGGAACCAGGGCCTTCAGTATTTTATTCTGTATCAGCTCCAGCAACGAACCATTTACTTAGGTAGGAAATTTCATTTTCTCTAGATTTGAGTAGGCCCTTAGCTTATGAGTTCACATATGTGTAACACAAACACACACACACCTCACAAAACACTAAGGTCAAAGCAAGAAAACACCTTCAGGATTGTAACCCAGAAGGTCTGTGAAAACCCTGCCTAACAGTCAGCTTTGGCGCCTGAGGGAGTTTCTGAGCTGCTGTGGGATGTGGCAAGCCGATCTCCAGCTTGAGTAGGATGCACATAGCTCCCTGTCATTTTCAGTCCCCCAAACAAGCTGCATTTGACCTGGAAGCACCTCAAAAGGGCAACTGCTCCAAGCAGGAGTGAAAGCAGATGAGGACACCCTAGGTGTCAACACACACACACAATCCCAACCAAAGAAAGCAGTTCCAAATGCTAGCTTTCCTACAGCCTATCTAAGAGTCTCCATGGACTGTCTCTATGTACAAATATATTTGTGCATACACATCTGTGCATGTGTGTATAACAAAAATCTACTGATTAGGAAGTTCTGACAGCCAGAGTCACATTTAGAAACATAAATATCTTCCATCTAATCTGCTGTCCCTGTGAACACAGGTCATTCTGCTGATGGGCAAAGCATGGAGTATAGGATTGTTACTTAATAAACTAATGCAAACATTGTGTTATCAAATCTAATTAAATTAACTTTAAATAGCTTACTAATTCGGACTCTTAAGACATTTTCATTCAATTTAATTAAGTACCATTAATCTTTGAGACTATTTAAATAAGATACTTTCACTGAGTTTATCTTCTATTTTTAAGTATGTATTATATAGTTTTTTTCTACCAATATAAACTTCTTGAGGAGGAATATCCCAATAGATTTTTTTTAGAGATGATTATTCCTACCAATATCTCAACATGAAAAAATTGATATTGTAATCACTTAATTGTTAAATTAATTAAATGTCATGGAATTTTAAAAACTGAATGCAGGGTTGGAGATGGCTGATCAGTTAAGAGTACTTATTGTTCTTATTGAGGACTGAGGTTCAATTTCCAGCACCCACCTGGTGACTCCCAGCCATCCTTAACTCCAGTTGCAGAGAATCAAATGCCGCCTTCTATTCTCCGAAGGCACCAAGTATGCACATACACATGCAGGCAAAACACTCATATATAAAATGAATACATCTAATTTTTTTGTTCCTTTTGTTTTTTCGAGACAGGGTTTCCTTGTGTAGGCCTGGCTGTTCTGGAACTAGCTCTGTAGACCAGGCTGGCCTTGAACTCATAGAGATCCACCTGCCTCTGCCTCCTGATTGCTGGGATTGAAGGAATGTGCCACCATTGCCTGGCTGAATAAATCTAATTTTTTAATTCAGAAAGCAAAATCTAGGTAACCTTTTTAGTTTTTCTCTAAGTAAATGGAGATATTTGACTCTTGGAGCCCACAGCAGAACCCATTACCCACTATGGAATCAAACATCCCTTTTAGAACTAACATCTCAACACCTGGCTTCACGTAAACACTGCAAAGAGATGCTTACAATCAGAGCGAGGGTAAAAGCTGTGTCAGCTCTATCTTCAGGAAACTCCCGGGATTACATTATTCTCTGTTGTTCATCTTTATGTTTTAATATATATTATACCATAAATTATTTATTCCACACAAACTGCTTTGAAAAGATAACAACTACCTTGTAAGTATTTTTTCAAAACCAGAACATATGATAATATCAAAACTACTTTCAAATAATTTTCTTAGCCAACCTAATAAAGTCAATTACATCAGTCTGCAAACGGAAATTAAAGCTACTTAAACAAAATGTCTTCTTTAACTACAGAATCGAATAATCTTCCTACTCTAAAATTTACTGGCTCTGTGAGCAACAGCTGAACTGATTGACCTGAAACTTTTCTTCTAGTCTTTTCCCACTGAAAGAGGAAGAAATGATACCAAAAAGGCTTAGAGTTAGCAGGAAAGAGTTGAAATGAGAAAATGTAGAGAAACCAATGTTTCACCTCAGGTAGAAGAAAAATCTTGCCTAAACCTATGATTTCATTTTCAGGCCCTTAAATCTAAATGTCATTTTACACTCTTCCCACTCCCACCAAAAATGTTATCAATTGTCCCAAACATTGACAGTATTGAGAAATTCCAATGATCAGTTAACATATGCCACAGCCCCAGATTAATCTGATGTTGCATCTAGATAGGAATTAAGGGGAGAGATGGGGGGATAGGGATGGTATAGAGCCAAACAACTAGACTTTCAACATATTTTCTGTACAACTAATTAAAAACAAACACTTTAGGTCATGTAATTTTTAGGTGTAAGTGTAGGGTTGGAAATAATTAAAATGTTACCTTTGCCAAGTAATTCCCAATGTATCCTCACTGGTACTGGGGTATAAATGCCTGCCGTTTTGATTCATGGTCCAGTCACAAATCCTCAGCTGTCAATTGAAACCTAGCAGTCAGATATGGATCGAGCAGTACTACAGTTTTTAGTATTTAAATGAACACATGCAAACTAGTACTGAACATGGCAATCCCCTTACTTTCCCAAGAGGCAACTCAAAGAAAACAAACAGACAAAATTAAAAACAAAACAAAAAACCAAAAAGAAAAAAAATCTTACTCTACAAAGCAAATTTCCAGACTTTTCCTTAGAAAAAAAGTTATTGCAATATGCTTCTCTATTAATTAAAGCATCCAGAGAAACAAGTGCTTAGAACATAACAATTAGCCAGTATTAGAGTATAAATTGAGCTGAAATAAAAGAAAACGTTAATAATGTTCAATAGAGATTATTTTAGAAAGGAAATAAAAATGCGTTTTTTTCTATGCGACATACCAAATCATCTATACAGAGTAGAATAATCAATATTGGTAAAGCATGCAGTTTGCAAAACAGAGGACATGCAGTTTAGAGGAGAAAGGCCCCACCCTGCATTGACCCTAACAGGTAGAGAAGCTGGAAGGCTTCCAGTTCCTCATGCTACAAATTACATTTTACCTAAAGTGGCATTGTTCAGAAAGAGTCAAAAATGAGGTTGAGTTTTACGTAAAATTCAGAGGTGTGGCACTGTAAATGCTTCCCTGCATGTGAAGAAGGTGGAGAATGCTCTGAACAGGGCCTGAGACAAATTCTCCCCAGATCTGAGCGTCGGCTCTTCAGGACACTTCCCAGGAACCCTATCCAGCCCTGTTTGGTTAACAGCTGCCCTACAGTGCTAGCAGATTTATTGAAAAGATATATTGCTTATTTTTATGCTTAAGAAAGTAAACTTATCTGGCATTGTGGGAGACGGAGGGGAGACACACTAGAAAATCATGGATTTTAACCTTTAGAGAGCCAGGCTGTAAATTCACTGCATCATGCACTGAAAAGACGCTGCCTTGCTGAACACACTAACCTGGCTGGATTGCCTCTCCTGTGAGAGTTTCTAGATGGTGACTAGAGCCAAAATGCCTTTAAACTTGGGACAAATTGCTTTAACTATGTCCCCAAAACACAGTGCTTTAAAAAGTGGGCTATACCACCTCAGACTCCGGTTTCTTCACAGCCTAAGAGTGATCATAAGGTTTCAGAATGATAGCTTTTATCTGAAAATGTAATCTAAAATTTTGAAGGTGCATTTAAATTACTTTAATATTTAAAGTAAAACTAGTTTTCTAAAGAACTGGGAAAAGTCCCCTAGGGTAGACAGAGAAAGAGAACGATATAGAGACGGCTGGATGGGTGGAGTCCGTTCAGCTTGATGCTATAGAGAAGTCATAAATCAGAAAGTAAACAGAAAGGAAAGCGGGTATTCTGAAAACAGGCCATAATATTCCTACAAAGGAGAAAACTGTATACCTATTCATTTTTAAACAGATGACATATTTCTGCTATTTCAAAGAAGAAAATGTGTTTAGTCTATAGTGTATGAGAAGCAACATTGTGAGATTTGTTTCTGAAGGGACACAGTGGGAGGGGTGGATACACAGGATTTCACTATGTAACTCAGCCTGGCCTTGGACACACTGTCCTCAGCCTCCAGTAGACTGGGATACAGGACTATTCAGTAGTGCAGGATTGGGGTTGTTCTCTCTCTCTCTCTCTCTCTCTCTCTCTCTCTCTCTTGTGTGTGTGTGTGTGTGTGTGTGTGTGTGTGTGTGTGTGTGTGTGAGTTCTCTGAGGGGGCCTTCTAATTCAATGTACCAGGCTACACTGCTTGTCATCCAAAGTAAGTGGGACACATTTCAAAATATGAGTCTCGAAAGAAAAGAGCTTGACCATATGAGATCACTTCACGAGTCACCCACTGATCCACTTTCACCAGTGAATGCCAGCTTTGAGTCAGGGTAGCATTTTAGGAAGTGAGATGTATGTTCCGGCATACCACAACCAACTCTGCTAATGATTAGCTACAGGTACAACCTTTCTGCACAAAACCGTATGACCCCAAGCACCACTCATGGACCGTCTCAGACAAAGCTGAGACATTACTGTCTTCCTAGGTGGATGTTATGTAAATCTGGCAAGTTACATGCTGGTGGCTTTTTTTTTCTTTAATCACCCTTAAAAATTTCAAGTGGGCAATCTGTGTCTTCGTCCTGAACATTTAAAATCAACATGATTTTTAACTTTTTTTCCTACATATACTTTCAAAGAGGTTAAACCAAACTAGCTATTTACTTCCCCTTATCATTAATATATATGCATTTGCATATTTTATCTAAAACAGAAAAAATGCTTAAATATATACAAAATAATCAAAGATTGTATTTAACAAAAGTTTAACACCAAAGTTGGTAAGACACTAATTACTATTGAATTAATTTTCACTCATTAACTGAAATTTATAAAAAACTATTTCAGTTTGTCTCTATTATGGGCCAGCACTGCCTACACTTTCCAAGCATCTAGGGAGACAAGTATCTGTGACAGCTTGTCTCATATCACTCACTTGAGCCAACTTACTTCAGCAAGAGCCTTTCTCTCGCTCTTTTTCGTTATTATTATTTTTTTCTTAACTACCTTTGGACTAATAAACTATCTAGTAAAGTGAAAATTTAAAGAGTGTAGATAAGGGAAACCGATAAATAACTAAAATAAAAATCAGCTATTATTCTCCGAAGAGTTCCCTGGCAGGGATGTCTAAAAAACCCAGTTCTTAAGCATCTTATTTAACCAAGACATCCTTGGACCAAGCAGATTCAGGATATCTTTTTTCACACTGGAAGACTCAAACTAAGTATATGTACACTTCTTTAGAAGAACATATGAGATGATTTATTATTATCATTCAAGATGCTAAACACAATCTCATTTTATATTTTAAAGAGATTTTTAATAATAAGTAATAAGCATTTTTAAATTTGGGGTATTGATAGTCTAGCCATTGTTCTGAGAAAAGGTCAGTGATAAAAACATTTAACCATCAGCCAGGCAGCGGTGGTGCACGCTTTTAATCCCAGCACTTGGGAGGCAGAAGCAGGTGGATCTCTACCAGTTTGACGCCAGCCTGGTCTACAGAATGAGTTCTAGGACAGGCACCAAAACTACACAGAGAAACCCTATCTCAAAAAACAAAACAAAAAACAACTGTCAGTTATTTCTAGTCAAAATTTAAAGCTGGATTTTAACTGGTACATAAATATGTCTTTCATCTCTCTTATATTTTCCAAGTATCTTACTTTACAAAATAAGAGGTGGGCTCCTGTCCCATAGCAGTCAAGCTTAAAAGATCCCAAGCAAATGAGTTTAGAAAGCCGGTTTGTTAGTGCCATGTGACTGTGTAGAAGAGGAGCTGGTTCCTAGTTTTCTTATATTCTGAAAGTCAGACTTAATCATATGCATATCTGTACAAAAATACAGTCACGTGCCAATTTATTTAATTTATATGAACCTATCAAAATGAAAGAGGACTATCTATAAAACCAAGATGTTAAATACATTGTGCCCAGTGTTCCAAGAAGAAACAAGAAATGAAAGAAACGGGCCCCACCCACAGTGCAATCAGTATAGGGGTCAAATAAAACAACTATAAACTACTGAAAAAAGAGGCGAGGTCTAGGACCTGCCTGTGCTCTCAGACTGCAGCCCCTCCTTTGGAAGGGAACCTAGTGCCTGGCATAATTCAAATGAGATTGTGTCAAAAAAAAGCCAGGAAGGGAACCATCTGGGTTCTTTCAAATATCTGCACACGGCGGCTGGGACCTAGCTCAGTTAGAGTACTTGCCCAGTGTGCACAAAGCCCTGGGTTTGGTCCCTGGTCCTAATGCCACAGAAAATCAAGTGTGGTGGTGCAGACTTTTACTTCTAGCACTTGGAAGGTGGAGGCAGGAGGATCTGAAGCTCTAGGTCATCTGTTATTACATAGTGAATGAGTCCAAAGACAGGCAGGATTCTCAATTAACTAAGTAATTAAAATGAATAATCTGCATAAGCAGAAACACCTAAGTGGAAATACCTAAGATACTACACATAAATAAGTATGTTAAGTTGCTGACAGCCATAGAGAATCAATATGGCCTTAAAGTCAAGTTTGTACACTCAGATGAAGGCCTTTCATTGGTTATACAAGGGGACTTAAGGTTTTTAGTTTGTTTGTTTATTTATTTATTTATTTATTTATTTATTTATTTATTTATTTATTTTGGTTTTTCGAGTCAGAGTTTCTCTGTGTAACAGCCCTGGCTGTCCTGGAACTCACTCTGTAGACCAGGCTGGCCTCAAACTCGCAGTGTCCGCTTACCTCTGCCTCCCCAGTGCTGCGATTAAAAACGTGCACCACCACCACCACCGCCTGGCAACTTTAGTTATTAAATGCATAAATTTGGGGAAAAAATAAAACTAAGCCAAGTGTCCCTGTTTGCTAGATTCAGCAAACAGGCAGTTTACTAACAGTCTGCCATGACAACAATGGCTCTCAATTGAACCAATAAACCACGGAATGTAAACTGAATAACCAACATGAGCAAACTGACTTCTTCACTTCACCTTTACAAGACTCTCAAGGGAGGATCTTGAAGTCTATGTTTTACATTCTCTTGAGGTTCCCCATTTCTCCTGATAGCTCAGGGAAACAGACTGGGGGAGGAGGGCAATGGAGGCACATAAAAAGAATCAGCACTCGACAGTTCATGCTCTCCCCTTACTGCCTGGATGGGTAAACATTTCTTCTATTAACTATTGCTCATGGAGCCACTGACATGAACTGTGAATGGGTGCTGCAGAACTTTAATGAACAGGAAAGATGGCCACAAGCAAACTGTCAAAAAGAGAACTCAAAGCCACCCTGGTACCTTACAGTCACTCCGTCATTTTGTGAAGCCATGCTTAGTGAAACAAAGATAAATGGGTATGAACAGTCCACCAACTTCACCAAAATCGCTGAGTCAGACATGAAGAGTTGGAAAATAAAGAGTCCTTCTCTTTCAGTGAAAGCTGCTCATGCCTATAGAA